GTGCCTCCCCTTTCCCCCAAACCCCAACCCCCAAACCCCCAAACCCCCAAACCCCCAGGTCAAGGTGTGGTTCCAGAACCGCCGCACGAAGCAGAAGAAAGACCAGAGCAGAGACTCTGAGAAACGCTCCTCCGGCACCTCCGAGTCCTTCGCCACCTGCAACATCCTGCGGCTGCTGGAGCAAAGCCGCCTGCTGTCCGTGCCGGCCCCGCCGAGCCTCCTGCCCGCCGCCCGCAGCCCGGTGCCGCTCGGCAGCCCCGCGCCCGGCCGGGCCCCGCCGCGCCCCGCGGCCCCGGGGCCGGGCAGCCCGCCCGCCCCGCCGCCCCTCGGCCGGCTCCCGCCGCCCCCGGCCGCGTCCTTCTCCTCCGCATCCTCGTCCTCGTCGCCGTCGCCGCGGCTGCCGGGGAGGCCGGTGTGTTTTTTGGGGGGGGTGTTGGGTGGGCTGCGCGATCTGCCCGATTCTTGCCCGGCGGGAGCGTCCGCGTTCGAGCCTTACACGCGGCTGGAGAGGAAGGACGGTTCTGTAGACAGCAAGAAGCCGAGCCCTTAAAACAAAAACAAAAAACAAAAATAACAAAAACAAAACAAACAAAAAAACCAAAATCAAAAACAAACACAAAAACAAAAACAAACACAAAAACCCAAAAACAAAAACAAAAAACAAAAACACAGAAACAAAACCAGAAACACAAAAACAAACACAGAAACCCAAAAACAAAAACCCAAAAACAAAAACAAACACAAAAACCCAAAAACAAAAACCCCAAAACAAAAAACAGAAACACAAAAACAAACACAGAAACCCAAAAACAAAAACCCCAAAACAAAAACAAACACAAAAACCCAAAAACAAAAACCCAAAAACAAACACAAAAACCCGAAAACAAAAACAAAAACCCCAAAAACGAAAACAAACACAAAAACAAAAACCCAAAAACAAAAACCCAACAACAAAAACAACAACAAAAACAACATAAAAANAAAAAAAAAAAAAAAAACAAAATCCCCAAACAAAACCAAAAACCCCAAAACAAAAGCAGAAACAGAAACCCAAAAACAAAAACACAAACAACAAAAACAACAACAACAACAAAGAAACAAACCCCCCCAAAAAAATCCAAACCCCCCCAAAAAACGGTGTCAAAAATTGTCCCTTTCCCCCCCGCCGCCCCCCAGCCCAGATCGCTCCTCCCCGAGCTGGGAATTCCCGCTGGGAATGGCCGCTTCCCCCTGGCCGCGGGTGTCGCCGGTGTCGCTCCGAGGTGTCGCTGTCCCCGGGGACAGCAGCGGTGGCTCTGTCCCCGCGGTGTCCTCGGAGAAGCGCCGTGCCTCAGTTTCCCCGCCGGGCTGAGGTCACCGCGGCGAGCGCAGGGCGGCGGCGCTGCTCCTCGGGGTGGGGTGGGGGGTTTGTCCCCAATTTGGCCTGGGTGATGTCCCCAGGTGTTGTCCCCGGGCTGCCGCCACCCCTGGGACACCCCCAAACCCCGCCCTGTCCCTTTCTGGGGGCTGTCCCAGCCTGGCGGACCCCACAGGGAACACCCCCCGAGGGGCTGTGGGTCACTGTCACCCCTCCGGGTGACAGCTGGGGACAGCGGTGGCGGTGGCATCCCAGGGGGTCTTTGCCAGCAGCGCCCCCAGACCCACCCTGGGGTGGCACCGTCCTGCCACCGGCACCCGCCACACCCCGCTTGTCCCCTGTCGCACCAGGGTCCCGCTCCCAGGGGGTGACAGTGGCTTCCTGCGGGGCCACCCGGGCTGAGGGTGGCGCTGGGGACCAGGGGGACCTGGCATGAGGTGGCGCTTGGGGACAGGAGCAGCTACTGGGGGGTGTGAGCGTCGCCTTGGCGGGACACGCTGGGGTGGCGCCACCTTGGCACCAGGTGTCCTGAGGTGGCATCACTTTGTCATCCCGTGGTGGCATTGCCTTGCGGGGACACCCTGTGGTGTCACCACCTTGTCCGGGTGTCCTGTGGTGTCACCGCCTTGCCCAGGTGTCCTGCGGTGTCACCACCTTGCCGGGACACCCCGCGGTGTCACCACCTTGCCAGGACACCCTGCGGTGTCACCACCTTGTCCGGGTGTCCTGCGGTGTCACCACCTTGCCGGGACACCCTGCAGTGTCACCACCTTGTCAGGGTGTCCTGCGGTGTCACCGCCTTGTCCTGCAGTGTCACCACCTTGCTGGGACACCACCACCTTGTCCGGGTGTCCTGTGGTGTCACCACCTTGTCAGGGTATCCTGCGGTGTCACCACTTTTCCAGGTGTCCCGCGGTGTCACCACCTTGCCGGGACACCCCGAGCCCCCTCCCCACACCCAGACCCTGCCCCGGGGGCTCCCCCCACACCCCCAAACCCGCTGCCGTTGATTAATTAACCGATTCATTAATGAGCAATGATCATTAACACTGAGCATCCCCCTTGCCCTCCACCCCCGGGCTGCTGCTCCCGATGGGGCCGCATCTCCCGGGCCCCGAATTCCCAGGATTTTGCAGGGAAATATTTAAAATAAATGATTTTATGAGAAACTTTCCGTCAATTTTTTTTTTCTTTTTCCCCCTTTTTTAGGGAATTCTTATTTATTGCTCCACTCCCTTTGGAGCGTTTTAAAGGGACGGCTCGGGCGGGGAAACTGAGGCAGGGACAGGTGACAAGTGACAATCCTGTCCCCCCCTCCCCCACCACCCGGCACAAGTCGCCTGGAATTTCTCCAACGATATTTGGGATTTTTCCTCCTCTCTTCCCCTAATCCTTTAATTTATTCTTGATCCCGCCTCTTCCTGAGCCAGGTGGAGCCAGGACAGGGAAGTGGCCGCGTCGCCACCTCTGGAATTCTGTCCCCAACCCCACCCGGGTTTCGCTTTTCCCTCCTGCCAGCCCCACTCCAGCGGGGATTTAGGGATTTTTTTTCCAAACTGGAAAATCCCGGAGGGCATCTGGGGACATTCCGGGTAAAACAAAGCCCGGGAATTAGGAATTAGGAATTAGGAATATGAATTTGGGAATATCTTTGGGGTTTTCCTGCCTGCTCCGGTGATCCTGAAAGATCCGCGGGAATCTCGGCGCTGCTCCTTTTGCCCGTTTGACCCCAAAAATCCCAAATCCCATCCCAAGTTTTTTTTTTTTTTTCCAAAGCTCCTTTCTCCAAAGCGAAGCTGTCGCGGGGGTCGGGGACAGTTTGGGGACACCCCCAGTTTGTCCCGCTCGGTGCCAGGGGCTCCTCCAGACTGGGATGACTGGAAAACCAAGGCTGGATGTCGAATTTTAAGGAAAAACGCGGGGTTTTGATGGTTTTTATTGTTAATAAAAGTCGCGCCCTGCCTCCTTCCGCCTCCTCCTCCTCCTGTGGGGCCCCTGGCCCCGCTCCGGGTGTCGTTGTCCCCGTGGGTGACAACACAGGGTGACATTTCCGAGGCCACCGCTGCCTCAGAGCCCCCGAGGAGCCGTGCAGCCCCTTTTCCCTAACCTTATCCCTTATCCCAATCCCTTATCCCTATCCCATTCCCTTATCTCTATCCCTTATCCCAATGCCTTATCCCTATCCAAACCCCTCATCCCTATCCCTAATCCCATCCCTATCCCGACCCCTATCCCTTATCAACATCCCTATCCCTTATCCCAGACCCTTTCCCTATCCAAATCCCTTATCCCAATCCCTTATCCCTATCCCTATCCTAATCCCTTATCCCTATCCCATTCCCTTATCTCTATCCCTTATCCCAATCCCTTATCCCTATCCTAATATCTTATCCCTACCCCTTATCCTTATCCCAATCCCTTATCCCAATCCCTTATCCCTATCCCTATCCCTATCCCTATCCTAATCCCTTTTCCCTATCCCATTCCCTACCCTTTATTCCTATCCCAATCCCTATCCCTTATCAACATCCCTATCCCTTATCCCAGACCCTTTCCCTATCCCATTCCCTTATCTCTATCCCTTATCCCAATGCCTTATCCCTATCCTAACCCCTTATCCCTATCCTTAATCTCTCATCCCTACCCCTTATCCTTATCCCAATCCCTTATCCCAATCCCTTATCCCTATCCCTATCCTAACCCCTTATCCCTAGCCCTTATCCCTAACCCCATCCCTATCCCGATCCCTATCCCATAGCTACATCCCTATCCCTTATCCCAGCCCCTTTCCCTATTCTTTTCCCTTATCCCTATCTCTTATCCAAATCCCTTATCCCTATCCCTATCCCAATCCTTTATCCCGGTCCCTATGCCTTTTCCCTATTCTTATCCCTTGTCCCTCCCCCTTGTCTCTCTCCCATTTCCTATCCCATTCCCTATCCCATTCCCTATCCCATTCCCTATCCCATTCCCTATCCCATTCTCATTCCCATTCCTGTTCCCGTTTCCCTTCCCATTCCCACTCCTCTTCCCATTCCCATTCCCATTACGTCCCCATCCCCATTCCCATTCCCGTCCCCGTTCCCGTTCCCCATCGCTGTCCCCGTCCCCGTTCCTTTCCCCATCCTTCTCCCGTTCCCGTTCCCGTTCCCATTCCCATTCCCATTCCCGTCCCATTCCCATTCCCTTTCCCGTCCCCATTCCCGTCCCCATTCCCGTCCCCGTTCCTTTCCCCATCCTTCTCCCGTTCCCGTTCCCGTTCCCATTCCCTTTCCCGTTCCCGTTCCCGTCCCCATTCCCGTTCCCGTTCCTTTCCCCGTCCCTCTCCCGTTCCCGTTCCCTGCCCCCATCCCGGCTCCCGCGATCCCGCCTCCGGCCGCTCCCTCCCGCTGTTTACAGACAACACGGTGCCACCCCTGTCTCCGGTGTCACCTGTGTCACCAGTGCCACCTCTGTCTCTGGTGTCACCTCTGTCTCTGGTGTCACCTGTGTCGCCGGTGCCACCTCTGTCTCCGGTGTCACCTCTGTCTCCGGTGTCACCTGTGTCGCCGGTGTCGCAGCTACAAAACCCGGGGCGCTGCCGTGTCCTGCCCGGTGGGACCGGGACCGTGACGGGGACAAGGACAGGGACAGGGACAGGGCCATGGCCGCCACCAAGGTGACAGCAGCGGCGACAGAGCTGGCGGCCGCCCGCGAGCACGGGCTGGCCGTGACCCGCGACTTCCACAGCAACCCCCGGCTGAGTGAGTGCAGGACACGGCGGGGACACCGGGGGGACACCGGGGGGACACCGGGGGGACACCGAGATGGGGGACAGGGGAGGGAGGGACATCCCTCTGTCCCCGAGCACTGGTGGCAGGGACGAGGGGGTGACACCGGGCAGGAGTGCGTGGGTGGCACTGGAGCCAGAGGGGTGGCACTGGGACAGGCAGGGGTGACAGGGATGGGTGGGTGGCACTGGGGCAGGCAGGGGTGACAGGGATGGGTGGGTGGCACTGGGACAAGCAGGGACTGGTGGGTGACACCGGGTCGGGAAGGGACAGAGGGGTGGCACTGGGACAGGCAGGGGTGACAGGGACGGGTGGGTGGCACTGGG